CTATTCCACACTAAGCGAATCATAACGTCCAGAGTGCTTGGGAGCTCTGGATTATTACAGATGGTCTAGTCGTCGCAACGAACAGAGAGGGAAGGAGAGAGCGAAAGAGCAGTATCACATTTTTCGACTCATTACAATAAAAGATGTCAACACGAGGTCTTGAAGAAGCCTATATGAAACAGAAGTTGTTCCTGAGGTAGCCGACAGTAACCTTGTATGAAGCACGATTCTTTCTACAAAACTATGATAAAGGGATAAAGGATAAAGCTCCCGGCGTTGATCAATCCCTGAGAGATGCGCCACGCATTCGACTTCACTATGTATCGTTAGAGGTGATTGGGTGCATTAGGCCTTCACAATGACTCGCGGTGGCTAGCGATGTATCGAGCCAGTGTTGCTATCCTCCCAGACAAGTCTGGTATCAATTTACCGATCCCGGAGGAATGAAAGGCTTGGTGGGCCATGGGCGCGTGAATCGATTCCACGTGTGTGTCGCAGTGGCGCCTTCAACTACTGCGCCACACGCGCCTCAAAACTTTGATAGTTCTATATAAAACGTCTTGATCCGATGTTTGTCATAATATTAACGTCGTAATATTGGGGTAATGTGATATTGATAGAAAACTGGAGCACCACATATTTTCTCGACTGTCGATGTCTGATTTGGGTCGTTGTTTCTTTAAAGGAATATTTCTCATTGACTAAGCTCATGGGTTGAGGACACTATCTCATTTCATTAAGAACACATTTTAAGAAACAGTTCTTTTTAATAACTAGTTTCTAGCATGGACCGTATTTGTCGGGGCTACTAAAAAATAGTCTTATGTTACCTAATCCCACGATGTATTCACAATCAATGAAAGCTTCTAAAAGAATTGCCATACACGATAAGTTAAGTGTACAAACAAATAAACCTCAACATCAACGGTTAGACAAAACGAAGTATACTTGAGAAGTGCAAGTAAATCGAACGATGCAGGAACATGAAATACATCTGCTAAATCTGAATGCGTCTAAGAAAATGGCCCCTTTGGGCAACGTGTCAGCCAGTCGTTGGCACGTTTACAGGCCAACTAACGCGGCGACTAACGGGTTAGAGATACTTCGTAAAGAACAATTTCATGAAGCTGGACGTAATTCAAAAAGAATGACAAATTTTGGCTTGCATTAGCGTTAGAGACAAATCGAGGAATTTCTTACGAAGCTTCGCCAAACAAAAGTGTAAAGAGACCACACGGAATGGGAAAATTTATCAAATGGAACATTATTATTTAGCAGGTGCACTTTTTAAACGTCGGAAAAAAACTGTTATTGCAGTTATCGGACAATGAGGTGGTGCACTGAAACGGGATATTGACACCGTGAATGTAGAATGTGTGATTTCTTTGTAAATCGCACAGCAAAAGCTGAGTAAACTTTCAACTACGTTATGAATATGACCTCTTTAATTAATCTCTTTCCTACAAAAGATTATTCCGATTAAACCGAAAGCTTCTAAAAGACGAGCGATCACATCTGATAATATGACAACTGACCGATCGATAATCTGTGGACAAGCCAATAGAGGGCTAAATTGTAAATCATAGCACTACATTGTTTTAAGGGAAGAACATATTGAAGACCTACTAATAGTTATAAGTACACAAAATGAATATATTTCATGGAAAGTGCTGTTTTTCTTTTCGGCACAAACACTATTCTGGTAATTGAAAGAACAATCGAAGATGAGTGTAATACGGAATTGAAACAACTCCCTTGGTTAGAGCTCCATCAGTTAGTTATTGTCTACAGTCAACTTGGGAGATAAGTTGACAGGAAAACCTCCACGACCAGATAGGAAAATGATGATGATGATGATGATAATGATGCTCTACTGAAATGAGCATTTTTTTGTGACTATGAGCTGGAACATGGGAATACGAAAAGTGACTTGGATCGCTAGCGGCATTGGGCAATAGTAAATTTGAATTCGACGCACTGATCTTGAGTATTCGATGGGAAACTGATTCGACAGACCATTGGATAATAAATACAAATTTGTAAATATATAAATATATGCACTCACATCTATATAAGCGCCACACGTGCAATCGTTGATGACGACATGGTCGCCCCAAACAAAGTCTACTGTACCAACGGCGTCAAATGATGCCCAGTTATTCGTATTAGGTTTTAAGGAGATAAAAAACATCTTTGTAAAATCTCTCATCCATAGTATTCACTCTGTGTTTCTTAACCACTTGTTATAGATGTCACAACTTTTTTGCTATTGCTTCAATACGCTTTCATCACGTGTGAATGACATCTCGCTGATCATCTGCAAAAGTCTCACATCGCCAATGTTCTGGACCTTTCGTCATGTTTAGCCACTCATATGGGATAGAAGGCTTTCATATACGATATATGTTTTCTCGGTTTTACCCTCTCCAGAGCCTGGAAATGCCAAATTGGCATGCTATCTGCTCAGCTAAATACTTTCATAACTTTGGTAGATAAAACCTAACAAAAATTTACATTCGCATAATAAACAGCTTATTTTAAGCACCCACCGTTTTATTCTTTGTAAGCATTCTAGTTAATTGGTGTACAGCAGCTGCACAAAGTCCTACATGAGCGAGGAATGTGGCTGGTTAAAGTCACAGAATGCACCAAAGGTATAACGCGAGATCACCCGTGATCACCAGACACTCTTTCTTGCGGTTATTTTTTGACTTTCTGAATTGATCCGAAGCACTCAAGAGATTTCAAACATTTCATAGTGTTTTGTCATTTGCTCTACGCAGTAGGAGATGGACAAATGCTTTGAATTATTAAATGAGCAGTCAGAGTACATAAAGTTCACCCTGGAGAAACCGAGAAAAACTGGCTACCGTTTTTAAACGTTCAAACAAACCTATCAAGTAGCGGTTACTTGACAAAGTGGTAACGAAAGCCATGTAACAAGAACATCTTCGTTCATATCCTTTCTTCCCACCCTTCACACCTGCAAAGAGGGCGACTGTGAGAAACATGTTTCAAACAGCCACCTTTGTGTGAACGAAGAGAGGACTAGAAGAGGGGTCTCGCGAGTTAACTCGGCAATTCACCATCTCCAATAGCCACGAAGTAGTAATCACACGAGATAAGTTTAGAATGAGAGCGACGCCCCAAAACGAAATACTTGGCAAAAGGAAATCCCGTTTATCCTACCCTTTATTAGCGATTAAATAAGTGTCGTTGTAAAATGTTGCTTAAGGAGGCAGGTTTAGATGGTTCTCCGGTCAGAAAGGTCATCCGTATAAAAGAACGTCCAGATGGCAAACGAAAAACAAGATCATCCTACTAGGGACGCATACGATACAAAAGCACACCGGAGACGATTTTGATACAAAAGCCACCATCCACGCACAGGATGTGCAAACACCAAAGCGCAAACTTCTTGAGGCTCTTTGTGTAAATGCCAAGAATGCTAGAGTAAATAGCAAGGTGAAATTCCCAGAGATCACACGTGATCTCGCAGCTTGCCTTCACATCGACTTTCCATGTGGGGTGGTGCAGTCATCAACCATATGCCACTCTAATCGGAGGTTATTTTCTTCCTCAGTGGAAGGCACACAAGAAAACAGTAGATTATTTGAAAAGCTTTTGGTCATGTGATTCTTCACATAGACTTTCATCTTTCTTTATGAGTCGGATAGATTAATTTAAACGTTCAGGAATACAAGCCACTTTTCCTGCGGTTTCTCTCGGGTAAATGCGATGCACTCTGACTGTTCGTTCAATAGCTCAAAGCATATGTTCATCTGCTCTTGTGTAGAGCAGATGACAAAACAATCATCTATGTGCCTGCAATAGAATAATGGCATGAGTTCGATTACTGCTGCCTGCACGTTATTAATATTTCCCGGACCATCTAAGGATCGACGAATTTAGACAAACCTTCAGGAGGACAATGACTTGCATTGCGGTGTTATTAAATACGTTAGTATAAAAAGCGGTAACGTCTAACGACTCCATAGATACGCGCAGTTACGACGAGCGTTGCGGAGGAGATCCAGGCACGTTTGTGTATCCGTGGGATGAGCTGGTATGTGCTTCAGCAACTGGATGAGAATTAGGGTTATAAACAAGGCATTCACACCTTCTGCTTCTCCCAAGCCCTCACGGGTTGCAGGATGAAAAGCTATTGATGGAAGATGAACTTATAGAATATAGACGTATAGAATGATTGCTATTCAAATTATGTATGCCATCCTCCTTGTGCATAAAAATTTAAACAATGTGGGGAAAAGGAATGATTTAAACCCACGTTACTTAGTCCACGTTCATAATCATTTCTGTGTAGATACTACGTGAACCTCTGAGAACGGTTTTATTTATAATGTCTTTCATATGATTTAAGATTTATAAAGAGCACTAATCGAACTGTGGTCAACAAAATGATCTTCGAACATCTTCGTAATCAACAGTTCTCTACCAGATCCACTCAGAAATCGCGTCGAAATAAAACTTTACAACTGAACGCTATCACATACCATAAAATCACAGACAGTTGCCTCTGATAACAATTACATCAGTGCAGAAACGACCCGAAACACCACATCCTGTTTGCATAGCGAGCGCGCACCGTCAGTTTTTTCCGGTTAGACAACACGCCCTCAAGCGTTGCTAGGATCAGTGGCTTCAACAACCTTATGTACCCTTTGCAAGACAAAAAAAGAACAAAGCGAAAATATACTACAAAGCTTTAGAACAACTCAAATAAAAAATGAATACAGCGAAAATACGAAGGCAACTCAGAATAGGCCACCTGCTGGCACAGATATCGTTTCACATCCTAACTGCAGATTTCACTAGAGGTTTTACGACGAGCACATTATACAGCGGCTCTCTTTGGAAATTTCGTCCAATAGAACTACTGGCAGATAATCAGCTCCTTGTTTGAGACAACTAGGAAGCAAGCTTTTCATTTTCATTCCTCAGGTAATTTACACTATTTTTCCAACCATCCCTATTTCCTGTTATAATTCAGTTTTTTGCAGTAATGAGTAGCGTTTTTCACTCGGTTTTAATTGTTTGAACACAGATGGTGGTGGCGTTGTATCTCCTGGTCGGGTGGATGGCAATCGTTGCTGAAAAATAACAATCGATTTGTTGGTTAGACACTTGACATTGAACTTATGGAACAAACTACCAGAAGAACAGAAGTACGAAATCTGTTGCAGAAATCAAATAGATCCCTGATAAAACTGACATCAGTCTCACGGTTATCTTCCAGATCATCATCGACAATCCCATTTTCCTCCTTGAACTTCGCAAGATCGATCATCTTTTGGTCGAGCGTTTCATGAAAATCCTTGTGTAACTTTCCAGAATGTAGATCCAAGACAAACTAAAATGAGGAAAATACAGTTCTAAATTAAAAACGAGAAACTGTAGCCACTTGTACTAGAAGATGGTTATATAACAAGGAAAATATTCCTAAAAATGTACACTACCGTAAGCACTCACCTCTCTCAGCTTCCCAGGTACTGTCAGCTGCGACATATCGGGGAAAACGTACATGTGTTGAAATGAGTCAATGGCGAGAACGGGAAGATCCTTTAAAGAGTTAGTAAAGAAGCTTTTAGCAGGCCATTTATAAATACAACCACAACATTGCTGAGATATTTGCAAAACTCTGCACCGCAGGTGTCTATGGTGGGGTACGAACGCGCTATTGTCCTTTCCGCGGAGTAACGCGTTCACCACCACACCATGCGGCTCCTTCGCTTCGCATGTCTCTCAGCTAGTTCTATCGATCTCCCATCGATCTATCGATACCAGAGCAATCCCGTTGACGGGTGATTGCTGATGGCAAAAGATCGATAGAACTAGCTGAGAGGCAAGCGAGACAAAGGACTCGTATGGTGTGGTGGTGAACGAGTTACTCCCTGGAAAGGACAATAGCGCGTTCGTTCCCCACCATGGACACCTGCGGTCCAGAGCTTTGCAAACATCTCAGCAACGTTGTGGCTGCATTTCGCTTAGTACCCTGCCGTGGAAATTGTAGTAGGCAGAAAATAAAAGGCAAAACATTTATAAATAGTTGGTAATTGCATAGATTACCTGACTTTTTCATCAGTATTGTAGCTTTTACTTACAGCCTACTCTTTTTCCATAGCAGTGTACAACATGAAATACAACCATAAGGATACTGAAATATGTGCAAAACTGGGAAGTTCTGTTGTTTTACTAACCCACGATTACCTTACTGGATGGTTCACGTGCTAACCATCACACCAACGGAAACCCTTGATTAGCGCTTCTCTCAGCCATGTTTTAGCACGTGATCTTCCGGCAAGGGTAACCGCGATCTCGAAGAGCACATGAGGTTACAAGTTTTGCTCATATCTCGGAGTCCTTTTGTTTCTATTTGTTTTTATCATTTATCACTCTCTCTAGCTGACCAGCCTTAATTTTTTAAATTTTATAACTTCTACTTAAAGAATGCTGTACCTTCATGGTTTTTCCGAGATGTTTGAGTGGATGAGCGAACTTGTATCCATCTGCCAGCAGCGGATTCACAGCCGCCCTTTGATCGTACAGCTCGCGAACCACCTGAGCGATAATTTTTTAAAGGGCTGTATGCTATCTAGTTTAAAAAATTTAACAGCGAGTTAAGAGGTGGGTGGAAGCCTAGGTTGAGAATGATAACAAATAACGAAGCGATCACCTAAAGATTCACGACTATATCAAGAATGAGCATATTCGCGGAAGTTGAGCTACTGCCTTCAGTTTTAGGTTATCCCAGCAGGATACGCAAAACTAGAAAGGACTTCGATTTTTTACATACTTTACTTTATAGGCTCATACGTTTTTAGGCGCACAAAAAACATTTAAGCAATAAAATAACTTTAAAAATTATTCCTTGTCCCAACAAGAATTTTGTTGAATGAAGTTGCGAATTCGGATGAAAACTGTAGAAGAAAGCCACCCACAAGTTTCAAGAAGAGTAATTTGGAACAAAACATTTTCAGACAGACGAAAAGGACCCACATGGTGTGGTGGTGAACGCGTTACTCCCCGGAAAGAATAATAGCGCGTTCGCTCCCCATCGCTTACACCTGCAGTCCGGAGTTTTGTAAATATTTCAGCATCGTTGTGGTTGTTTCACAAAAACTTTTCACTTAATTTGCAAGGAAAGCACGTATAGACACTTTTGCAGTCTTGTTATTACAAGGGCAAAAGTCATATAATATGAAGATTTTAGTATTTCCTCCTGATTAACTTCCTAGCGTCAACTATCCACAAAGGCCCTCTCACCTACATATGGCGCTGTTACCTAACGAATTTTGTTCTTTATGAAAGTGAATGAATGCAAGTTGACTCGATACTGCCTGGGATCCTGGAATAGACACGAGCAGTTATTCAACACACGCACTCGCCAGCTTTTGTGAATGTAAAAGACCCCTTTCCAGACAGGTTTTTCTGCAAATTTTCTGACCCCAGAGGGATGCGAAGACCCTGTGTGGGCTCCAAAATGGTAGCTACACTTGCTAATCGACACCTCTACCATTGTGCTTCCCGGCTTCCATTTGAAGATTACGAAGTGGAAAATGCAGTAAATTTGGACCTGTTCCGTAAATATCTTATCCTCATCTTTCTTTTTTGGATCACGGAAGTACAACAAGAACGGTAGCCCTTCCTCGGTAAGCTCTTCCACATTCTCGAATGTCACTTCTCTGAAGCTCATTGTCATTGATTATATGATAATATTATATGATATAGATACTTTATAGCACGCAATTATCATGAAAAGGTGCTTTCGTGTTAAGTCAATTACTGCAACATCGATCAGTAATATATTTACTAAAGACAGTTACGTAAACTTGTCCAAAGTTTGAATCCTGTAATTCAGTTGCATTGCTCCGACCACTCACCTGACAAGTGGAATACATTTGTCCGTCACCCACTGCTTGAGAAATTCGTAATCACGGAAATCTCCAGAGAACTTCAAAAAAACATCTTCACGAAAGATTTCAGCAAAAGAACGTTTTATAATCGTGTCTAGTCATTACTGAACTAACGTGTTGCTCTTGCTGGGTATCTGGATCGATAAAGGATAAACGCTCTTCATTTAGTGTTGCCGATGGAGCTTCCGCTAACACCCAAAAAGTGCAATCTTCTCGTAGTAAGGAGGCGATTTTCTGGAAAGGCTTGCCCGTAACCGTCTTCCTAAGTGCAATCCACCATATTCTCCGATACAATGTGCTTCTACTTTTTATTATCCACTTGGAGCTAGAGGTGAGGCTAAAGAAGGCGCCAATAGATTTCTAAAATTTGAAGCTTCTAAAAATTTTTAGACTTACCTACTACATAAGAATGAATTCAAAACAAATATTATGTTGGATTCAAGTATAAAAGCAAATGCAAAAAATCTGGTGAAATATCTGGAATATATGAGGTGGTATCGATGTGACAACGGTAGCAACCAATATCCGTGCGTAAATGCATTCGCGATGAGGTATATATGACTTATACGAAAATGAGCTAACATAACTTCAATGTATCACTTGTATCACCTGTAGTTCCGTTCATCGTCGTGTAACTCGAGCGGCGCCAATAAATCTTCCATTTTTCCCTGTTGCGTGCAAGAGTAGCCCAGTGGGTTCTGTTCGCTCTAGGGACTCGTCGAGCATCATATCTTTCTTCAAGGCTCCTTGTGAAGAACTCTGACCGTCGGATCGGTGGTCTTCCTGTAGTACGTTTGACATCCCAAGGAATCCAGTCACTAACGACTCTTGCCCATCGGTTGTCATTCATACGCATTGCGTGTCCTGCCCACCTTATCTTCGACTGTTTGGCGTACAGAACGGCATATTTGATTCTTGATCGTTGGCGCAGATCGGAGTTTCGGATTCCATCTCTTACTTGCGTGAAACGGGATACTCGTAGCATCGTCCTTTCGACTGCGCGTTCGACAACACTGAGTGATCTTTCATTCTGCTTACGCAACGACCAGGTTTTTAACGCATACGTTAGGGCAGGAAGTACCGTTAAGTCGAAAAGGTGGGCACAAAGTCGGGTGTTCTTTGTTCCCTTCACGACATCCTCGATGCTCTTGAAAGCTCCCCAAGCCGCTCGTTTTCTTCTGCTCAGCTCTGGAGCTCGGTCGTTCATCATATTGATTTCCTGACCGAGATAGATATAACTGGAGCATTCAGAGATATTCGTTCTGTTGAGCGTGAATGGGGCATGCAAAACCAATCCGTTCTTCATTTACACCGCATTGTGGGATTTAGTCGAAGACCAATCTTTTCACAGGCTTTATCAAAGTCGGCAAGCATACGTTCCGCTTGGATAATATTTGGCGTTATAAGAACGACGTCAACAGCAAAGCGAAGAATGTGTAACTGCCAACTGTCGATTTTCACTCCCGTATTATCCCACTCCAATGTTCGCATGACATTCTGAAGGGTGGCGGTAACTAATTTTGGAGGGATAGTATCGCCTTGCCTAACTCCTCTTTTGACGTCAATGTTAATATCGTTGTAGAATGGTGATATCTTGGTTGTGAAATTCTTGCACAGCTAACGAAGAATCATTATGTACTGAATAGGGACTCCTCCACTGTCAAGGGCTCACCTTGTTCGTTCCATTCTAATCCCTATCCCAATGTGAAGTTCTTCAAACGTTTTCCTTGGTCCAATCTTGGCGTTGAAATCTCCAATGACGACTTGAAGAATGTGTGGTCTTCTCTGTAGAACTTCTCCAAGTCCATATAGAACGCTTCGATTTTTCCTTCGTGATAGTTTGATGTCGGCGCGTAAACAGCGAAGATTGTCAAAGCCGGAATTGATCCACGTCTTCTTAATCGTAAACGTCCGGTTCGGGTTGTAAGTTGTTCGAATCAATCGATGTTCATGAACAAACTCGTGTTGACGAGAACGCCAACGCCACCGACTCCTCTACTGTCACATGTTCCGGGGAACAGTTCTTCTCCTGTGTCATAGACGGCGTTGAAAGGCTGGCGTCTTCTCGTCTCGGCCAGGCCGATGAGGTCGTACCTTATTCTTCTTGCTTGCTTGAGCAAGTTTTCTATCGAGGACTCGGATGCAAGTGTACGTGCATTTTAGGCACAGATCGTCGCCATAGTTCCTTGAAATCCAGGCAGCTTCCATTGGCTCTGAGATTTAACAGCCTCTCCATACTCATCCTACCTAACGCTGCGAAATTGGGGGCTTTTTCGGGGTCAGGGGAATGGCGCCCGTTTCTTTTACTGTGTTTAACTTTTTAACATCCACTTATAACTTGCTGAGCTCTGAACGTGTGGGCTGGGTATACTCACGGGTAGCTTGCTGTGCTCTCCCAGAGCGAAAATGGAGCTTATTTGTTGGAGGACTCTTAACCGCCCCCTATATACTTCCCACTCACTTGATTGCAGGCTTTTGGCCGAATTGACTCGTAGAATACAATCCGCATAAGCAAGAACGCACCCACACACGCATGCATGAATACGCCTAGCAAATACAGAAAGTATGTGCTAAATTGGTGCAGCAGAAACAGTGAGTCCATCCCCTGGATCCACCTGTTTCTTAGGGAAGCAAAGGTCCGCGATTAACCCTCTGTCCGCCGCCTGGGCAAGCGCCATGTAGCCTCTCAACTAACCGGCTCGTGATCCCTCATGTAAGGGAGAACTTCAGTGATGCTGATATATTTGTAAAGCTCCGGACCGCAGGTGTAAGCAGTGGGGAACGAACGCGCTATTGTCCTTACCGGGGAGTAACGCGTTCACCACCACACCATACGGGTCCTTCGTTTCGCCTGTCTCTCACCTAGTTCTATCGATCTCTGCCACAGCAATCACCCGTCAGCGGGATTGAAGCTTGTTCGTTCCCCACACCATATAACTGCGATCCGGAATTTTGCAAATATCTTAGCATCATTAAAGTTATATTTCGCAATGTACCCTGCCATTAAAAAAAGTATGCAGAAGATAATAAGCCAAATATGAGCGAACATAGTTTAACCGAACTACTTTAAACTAATATCTTGCAGCCTCTTGCAGTACACTTTATTAAACGAAACGAAAACAATTGGAATGTATAAACTTTTACTTGTCTAGTTTTTTGTACTCGAGGGTAGTTTTTTGTTAAGACTTTTGTCCCAAGCATAGATGCGATTGGAGAAAAAAGATTTCGTTCCATCAGAAGCCAGCTCTGTCCTTAAATACACGCTGGAATTCGCACGTTGCTGCATTTACGTTTTAAATGCCTTAGGAATGTTATGGTCTTGAGGCGATAGGGGTTAAAGTCTGCTTTACAAATGCCCCAAATAGAAAGGTTCTCAAGTGCTTTGGTTGTCGGAACACAACCAGCAATTACCGAAAAAAACAAACTTTCCACCTACAATTTAAACCTGTACTACTGGATGAGGAACACGTAGCACAGCGTAGTTTCTGGGAAATAAACACAAATGCTCGGATCATGCGTGATCTGATATCCTCACAACTCAGGAAATTCTATTACAGAGACTTCCGTTTAAAAGCTACTTACTCTATACAGTAGCGACCCACGAAATCTTTTGACAATAGAAAATTTCAATCGCGCATGGACAGGAATGCAGTCGGTAGGCATATTTTGCATGTGCATGTCACCAAACGTGTTAGAATACCTACAGGGCCTTGCCAACCTTAACGTTTGCGTACACCTCATCACCACGTTTCACCAATGCCACTATATTTCTCTTTGAGCGATCGATTGTCGAATTGAGCTGTTCTTCATTACTGAATTCGTTGATGGCAGTAGACAACTGGTACTTGACAAAATTGGTCAACGCCTCAACTGACCTCGTGGACCTGAAACTGCTCTCTGGAGTTGCTAACGAAAACTTTAGAGTGTTCCCGAGAAAAAACTGATGAGAGCTTCGGCTTTATCGGCAAAATATCAGGCAAAAGTTCAAAACAACTACATGGCCAGGCGCAAAAGTTCAAACAGATGAAGTATTAGGTGAAGTCCAGCTTGGAGTGCCTGTGGATTTGAAGTTTTATGCGAAGAGCGTTGAAATTCTTATTACCGTCCCAAATATCTTTAAAGAATTGTCGTTCTCGTTCTCACAACTTCTAATTTTATTACCTGTATTCCTTTTGAATGAGTTCTCCGTTCACAAACACTTTCATAGTTGGATATTTGTTCACATAATATTTATCACCGACGTCTGCCTTAAAGACTTAAAGGTGAAACTTGGTCTAATGAAAGGAAAATGCGTTTCAACTCACTTGTCGAACGCTATCTACAATAGCCCAAACGACACTAGCATCTGGGTTTTCCTGCTTGAAGACCCGGGCCGATTCTTCGAATATCGGCTTCAACCGACGAGAAAACGGACACCAATCCGCACAGAAGGCAACGAACACCACCTAAGGTTACTTTCAAGATCAACTAAAGAAACTATTTTCATCACAGAAAACCTTTTTTGAATGTTTTTCATCAGAAAGAAATTGGCTTGTTGTCAGTGCGACACTAAAGAATCTTTGGTTTAGCAATCTTATTGCATTGACCAGACCCCAATCATCTTTGACGCATATTTAGGGCACATTTGGTTCGTTTGGTGATTTCTGAAGAACAGTCAATGGATTAATCGGTTTCCTACCTATTGCAAATGATTGCTTCATCATTTGCAACTCATAAATGAAAAAAGAGAACTCTACGAAGCACGTCTCAATTCGACGTCCTTCCTTTTTTCCAAAACTCTTTACCAGGGCTGTTTAAGTCTTTCTACACAGTGTCTTCTTCAAACGCCATCTTTCCTTTTGCCCTCAAAAGGTTTGCCTTCAAGTGCAATTCAGGCCCAAACATCTAAAGTATAGCTAGCACACCTGTCTAGACATGCTCCAACGAGTTCGATATAGAAAGTTTCTAAACTGATTTTTATGACTCCTGTAGTAGAAACCACTTCCTTCATTACTCATAACTTATTCATCAAAGTCCTGTTTGTGAGCAAATAGAGGAAAAGTATAAGAACCATCTGCCTATCAAGCGACTGCTTTAATCCGTCAAAATTACATTCTGTGCACGGAATTTTATGCGGTTACGATTAGCTAGGAAACAATACGAATTTCGATATAGTTCTGCTCACTCTAAAGTAGGCTGGCTCCATTGCTTTTCTAAAGTACGATATGAGTAACTTCAGTAAAACAGGGGGATGTAGCCGTCGTGTTGAAGATGAATGGCCAGCACTTTGAGCCATCCCGAAAAAGTTAAGCCTCCCAGCCTTTTAGGGTTGGAAAATTCATATCAGGCTTACATAGAAAAATATTTCTCCGAGTTCGCGAGTGCCGCTTTTGTGAGGACCTGAGGACAACCTAGTAGAGTGATCCCAGGAATCCAAAGAAAACTGATACAACCAGCACTCAATAACATTCATGAATAATACCAAATGCCCAAATAAAAGGCAAGGCCGCACACAAATCCGAAGAATTTCGTGAATGACTGATGTAAGATATCGAAATGAACACGTGCGGTATCCCCCCAAAATCTGATATTCGGTCATGCAATGTAATGATAAAAAACCCATTGCCCAAAAAAAACTTATAAAAGTCACCTGAGAGTTATTGATTACTTGGTCATGATTTAGCATAGACAATTCGATCGAGTTCGCTCCATCCTGGGCGAAGCAGTGCAGTGTAAGCGACAACAACCAGAGAGCGACGGACAACTCGCTCATCGTCCACCACCGCCACCACCTTGATCAACAAGCTGATTAGCAGTATTGTCTAGCATATTTCAAATGAATAATTTTGAGGAGAATTCATCATCGGATGCTAACCAATATTATAAAATGGGAGGTGGTTAAAAGAATAAATTTGTACCAACATATGAAAGCGAACACCTTGAAAAGCCACCAATAAAAATATAGTGCACAATGAAACTTTTCTTACTCTAGTTGACACCTTAAATCTTGTGAATTAATTCTGAGCTACAAGAACTGAAAAAATCATAAAACTAAAAAATTTTACCATGGTTAAAAGGAGCTATCAGAGAATTGTGAAGTGCATGAACTTATCAATGATCATGAAAAGATGCTCTAGTAAAAGCTTCCGATGTTCTACAACTAACATCACCAGCATTTACTAAAATTTTTCTCCAAAATCACAAGAAAGGGTAAAACTGTTGGCGTTGAACAATCCCTTAGGAATGGGCCATGCATTCGACCTCAATAAGCACAGTTGAGGTGACTGAATGCATATCTAGAATTTACGACGATTCGCGGTGTCCTATCGATGTATCGAGGCAGTGCTGCTATCATCCCAGACAGGTCTGGAACCAATCTGTCGACCCAGGAGGAATGAAAGGCTTGGTGAGCCTTGGGTGCGAGGATCGATCCCATTTGTACTGCAGAGCGCCTTTGACCACTGCGCTACGCGCGCCCACGAAACGGATGAATAAGAACATTTGTCCACAGCGGATTAACTATAAACTTGACAGTAGCAATGCTTGGCGCATAGAGATTGCTCTCTATCTTCCATCTTAGTTATGGAATATCAGGATTGGCCTATCAAATACTCAACGAGCAGCTGAGCCGGCTTGAGAGGATTGAGCCAATGTCTGCGAAAATTATAGTGATGCTCCACGTTAAAGCTATAGTATGCGAACGGCTACCTGTTACCATTACAATCGCATTTGCATTTGCACACTCTTTATTGTACTGTTGGGACTTTCATAGCGTTTGAACTATACCAAATGAACTACGGGTGACCGCCGATAGTACCGACTGAGCAAAAACAGGGCTGAGAAGAAAACAGAACAAAGGCCTCGGCAAGTGTGATGTGACGCGTTAGCCACAGGTAAGATAGTCGCGGGTCATTGTACTCTGCTACAAAAAAAGAATAGGTAGTAAATAAAAGTGTGAAAGTACAGTAGCATCTATTTTAAGTTGGCTGAGCGGATAAATATGAAGCCGCTTTATAGAACTCTGCCGGTCATGTGGAAGTTTATTGGATCTCCTTTTCGGTAAGTGTTGGATTATTCAGTGTTCCTCCTAATTACACTAGCAACGTTTGCAGCTTTTCTTTGTTGACTGCAGCTTTTTCCATTTCACTGAAAAAGGAGAATCTGACAAACGCTCATAAAACGCCTTCCACCACTGGGCCTAAGGTAAGCATGAACTGCTTTCCATGTAGTTCCTTCTGCTGGTGCTATCCTTGCCGATGATGACTCCGACGATAGCAGTCCGTTGGAGAATTCTCTCACTTCGAAGGAATTTTGAAAACTTGGTGGATTTCATTGGAGTCGTTACTATTCGTTCACTAAACAAATCTTCCCAAGACTTCTCTGTCAGAAATAGTTCAATCGTTGATATATCCTCCATCATTTTAAGACGACGCATTCTCCTTTGCCAATGTGATGATTATTCTGCAATTCTGCATATGTTTCTCACGTTTCCACTTCTGTGAATAGATGCATCATAATTGACACGTTTATCATAACTGATTTTTGTAAGGAAGAACATTCATGCCTTGACATTGCATGGGTTTTCTTAATGCATTTCGTGACGTTCTGGTCGGTGGTATTCAAGAGCATTTTCTTGTAGCAGCAGCTGTTCGGCTACTACCAGAGTCATACGAGAATCTCTACCTGCCTATTACTGCTTTTGCCAGTGATGCATTTGAAAAAACAATCTTGATTTCGGGGCAGCAGGCAGCGCAGTGGTAGTGATACCGCTCATCACCGAGCACGGTACTAGTATGACCACTCCCTAGGCTTAATAAGTCTCTCACCCCCAAGGTCAAGGAATCGCTACCAGAATTGTCTGGAAATAATTTATTCCCTGCAATCCAAGTGAGAACGCTCTTGCACGGCTATCTTAGGACCCTAGGAGAATCAAATAGACCAGGATCCAACGGCATTTATAAAGAAGAAATAATCGTCAAGAATCATCTTAATGCACAAGCAAAAGATTCAAAACCTTCCTGGATAATGGATACGAAGAAAAAATCGAATGCAAAAAGTGCAAAGACCCGTGCAGTAGATGTGAACGTGGTGTTTAAACGGTCGTGGTCCGTGAGCTTTGAAATGGTATATTTATTTTGCCCATTCAATCTTCAAAACAAATGGGTCCTTTTTCGTTGTGACAAGAGCTCAAATTGCAGATAAATTTTTATGAATGAGAAGCTTGATATAATACAAATGATTTCCTATCGATGCTTTTCAAACCACGGCATGTGCTATGACTATGTGGTATACTGTTCTGAAGACGTTGAATATACGCCCAGAAGTCCACGATATTCTCCCTTATGTTTGTGCTTTACGTACTTCTGCAATTACTCCAACTATAGTAAATTTTGATGAATAAGAGGGTTAATAAGGTTAAAATAGGTGTAGTGTTAAGTACGGACGCGACTGTGCAGAGGAATTCTTCACTTTACATGTTTCTTGGGCAAGATAAACAAACGGCTGTTTTTATGAGAGTAGTTGCTTAACCTAGATAAGTACTTTCCGACAAGTATGATCACGTAGGGCACGTGCGGCGCAGTGGTCGCAGGCACTCCGAAACACACGCGGAATCAATCCCAGCTTCCGTGGCCCACCAAGCCTTCCATCTCTCCGCGGTTGGAAAAGTGGTACCAGACCTGTCTTGGAGGATAGCGCGACTGGCTCGATACATCGGTAGGCCACTGCGAGTCATTTTCAAGGCCAGATATGCACTCAACCACCTGCAAATAATGCTTAATGAAGTCGAATGCATGGCGCATCCCTCAGGGGTTGATCAATGCTGAGAGCTTTATCCTTTTATTTATGGTCGTTCAATTCTTCTTTGTTCAACTCTTCAGTTACATAGCCTACAAGACTGCTTGCTGTAACTACGTAAATAAATTGATTGTTCGCAGTAATGTTGAAAGTAGTCGGGACCTCTGGTGAAGTTGCCTTCCTAAGCAAATTCACTTAGACGCTGAGCGAAGAGTTGCGTGGATGATTTCGTTAGACTGACAGATGCATTAAGTGTAATGGCCTGCATTCCTCTTTCTGTTTCCGCAGTACGATCTGAAGGGAGAAGAACAGTAGGCGAGGAAGAATGGAGGAAGAAATGGTTTACAACTAATTTCATTTTGGTATAATTTTGGTGGGCTGGTATAATTTAATACCGTTATTCCTAGCCCCCTATGCCGTTATAACAGTAAAATATGCATAAAGGTTCCATTACCAAAGTTTGAGGTCCGTCCTATGGAAACAAATTAAGGGGTGGTACTCTCCTCACTATTCCATTGATAGGAACAGAGGAAAAAGACTGAAAAAAGCGATGAGGGAAAAAGAAGATGGGAACTAGGACTAATGGAACCACAGAGTGCTATATGGTGACTGAAATTTAGCAATCTCCATTGATAAATCAAAACTCACTACGAACAACACTATTCAATTA